GTCACGTGTGTAACAACAACAACAACCAAATTTTTCAATCCCACCAAACGAACCACAATATTGGAACGCCAGTTCAAATTTGTTTCAACTTTATTGCTTCAACAATCAATTGTAGTACGCGCGCGCGTGTGTGTGTGTGTGTGTATGTGCGTGTATGTTTCCACATTTATCTGGAAATGTGTTAGCATTCAATAAGAATTGAACGGAGTAACAATCTTCTGGAAGAAAGTTGCACGTGAGATGGGAGTGCAAAAGGTTTTTCAAAAATATTAACACACACACACACACAAACAAACATGCACACACACATATATGCACACACACATATATGCACACACACAAACACACATACACTCACATATACACACACACGCACACATAAAAACATGCTCACTCACTCACACATACAAACACACACACATACAGGTTTACACATGCACGCTCACACACACATACAGACACACACACACACACATATACAATCGATCCACGAACATAGTAATTCTTGAAATTGACCTATGGTGCATTTGAACCAGGTTACTGAGCGTTCGTTTCTTTTTATATCGCTACTAAAAACTTGGCAATTTTTGTCGTGTTACTAAGCCAAATCGCTGGCTATTCACGGTGGTCATATTTTTCATCGGTGGTCATTTCACGTAGATAAATTTAGCAATGGCTTATTCATTCATCTGTTTATCCATCCGTCATTCATTCAATCATTCAATCAATCATTCAATCAATCAATCATTTATTTTTTGCTACTACTACTACTTCACTACAACTACCACTACCAGTAGTAGCAGTGAAAGCAGTAGCGACAGTAGTTAATTTGTGTGGTGGACAGACAGACAGAAAGATAAATGTACCCAATAAATTTTCCAATTTTTGTAGCTACTCTGGCTGGAGGGAGTGCAATAAATTAAGTCATTTATAGGCTCTATTGAAAGCCTGACTCGTACCGATTGTTAATTTGTGGTGTGTGTTGGTGTGTGTGTGTTGGTGTGTGTACGTTTATATGTGTGTGTGTTATGTGTGTGTGTGTGTGCGAATGTTAATTTGCGGTGTGTATTGATGATTGATGTGAGTTGGTGTTTGTGTGTTGGTATGTTCGTGTGTTGGTGTGTGTGTGTACCTGTATATGTGTGTGTTATGTGTGTATATTATGTGTGTGTGTTTGTGTGTGTGTGTGTGTCAATGAACGAACGAACGAACGAACAAACGAATGAACGAATGAATGAATGAATAAATGAGTGAGTGAATGAATGAATGAATGAATGAATGAATGAATGAATGAATGAATGAATGAATGAATGAATGAATGAATGTACATAAGGACAAAAAATCTTTTCTCACACGCAAAAATTTAAGCAAACATATTTTTGTTCGTGTAAACACAAAAAAATGAACCCCGAAAAATGTAAAAGCTCAACAAATTAAAAATAGTAGTAGCAAAAATGGCAGTATAAGTAGTATTAGTAGTAGTAGTAGTAGTAATAGTAGTAGCAGTAGTAGTAGTAGCAGTAGTAGTAGTAGCAGTAGTAGTAGTAGTACTGGTAGTAGTAGTAGTAGTAGTAGTAGTAATAGTAGTAGTAGTAAGCAGTATCACTAATTATTGTGGTTCGTTAATAATATAATTTTATTCGGAATGGTCTATAATTTTTTTTATTATGGAAATCAATTAAATTCTAAAAATTTTGAATTTTTTTCAAAAGAAAAACCAAAGATTAATGATAATTATGAATTTATTTAAATTTTTTTTTTCATTTTCTCATCAATCATTTTCCTACCTTTAAAGTCCTCGCCAAAAATCTTTTTTACCAAAAAATTTTATTAAGTTTTATTTCTTCATAGTTATTAGTTTTTTTTTCAATTTCTTGAAATTTTTCAAAATTTAAAATCAAGTTTTAACAAATTAATTTTTTTTTTAATTTTTTTTAAAACGTCAATCAGGGAATGTATATGAATGAATAAATGAATGAATGAATAAAGGAATGAAGAAATGAAGGAATGAATAAATGAATGAATGAATGAATGAATGAATGAATGAATGAATGAATGAATGAATGAATGATTAATGAAGGAATGAAGGAAGAAATGGATGCATGAACAAACGAACGACAAACGAATGAGTGTATGAATGAATGGATGAATAAATGAATGAATGAACGAAAGAAAAGAATGAATTTTGAATGAATGGTTGAGCAAATGTTCAAGCGAATGACCAAAAAAGTGTTGATATACATGTGTACCTTTGCAGTCACGTGTGTATTTTTCTTCAAAAATGTACGTGCGTATGTATGTTTGCGTGTAGAACCTACTCACACACACACACACACACACAAATTTGCCATGAAGAGTTACTCAAGAATAAGAAATTGCAAGCAGAAAAATTTTTCTATAAAATTGCTGCCATTGACAGCCACAGTGCTTCGAGCTTATATGCCAAACAGTGTCTTGTCTATACCGGAATGAATGAACGAACGAACGAACGAACGAATGAACGAACGAACGAACGAACGAACGAATGAACGAACGAACGAACGAACCAACGAACCAACCAACCAAAGAACGAATGAATGAATGTGGGAATGAATAAACGAATGTTTTTACTGAATCAATGATAAGAAATATCACTTTCCAGTATTTTTCGGAATAATTTGTAATTATATGTGAAAGTATTTATAAAACAATTAAATATAAAATGTAATGTAAGCTTCTGTGTGTGTATGTGTGTTTTTGTGTGTGTGTGTGTTTGTTTGTATATTTAGGTCTCAAAACGAGAAAGAATCTTAAAAAATTCGTCATGAAAAGTTACTGGCAGTGATATTTTTCAGGCAGAACGACCATTAAAGGGAAAATTATTTTCGGCAAACTGTTACAAGTAGCTGACGTTTAAAAGTGTTTGTTTGCTTGTGCGTGTGTTTGTTTACGTGTGTGTGTGTGTGTGTGTGTGTGTGTGTGTGTGTGTGTGTGTGTGTGTGTGGTGTGTTTAAAATTTGTGAGCGCCTGCTTGTGTGAGTATGCATGCATGTATGTTTGTTTGTTTGTGGTTTGGAAATATGTTTGTGTATATAAAAATATGTATGTTTCTGTGTGTGTGTTTGTAAAAATGAGTGTTAGCGTGCGTGCGTGTGTGTTTCTGTGTGTGTGTTTCTATGATTTAAGACTATCATGTTTGGTTGCGATGTTCAATCAACCACCGTAGTTGGTGGAACTTTGTGGTGAGATTTATGGGATGAGGACATGCTTTCAACATGTCAACATGCTTTCTGATCTGATTGTAGTTAAACGTTACTTATATAGTACTTATACTTATATGGTGCTTAATTGTACTTTGTTGGTACTTTGGATATGTTGTAGTTTACAGCCTTTTTAATCCTTTGTAGTGTTTAGTTCTGTGTGTTTATGGTGTCGTGTGATTTGTGGTGTGTGGCATTAAAGTTAGTGAATTAGATGTTTTTTTGTACTGGTTTTCAAACATTTATTAAGTATTGCTGCCTCGTTTAGATGTTAAATGTTAATTCTGTAAGATCATTATTATGAATAATGTACAACTAACTTTTGAGGCTGTTATATAAATTATACATACAAACGAACAACAGGCAAAGAAACAACATGCAAGCATACATACAAATACTGGAACGGTTATATGATATGCATCTAATACACATCACATCATATAAACCTGGATGTGTGTATGTATGTATGTATGTCTGCATGTATGTATGTATATATGTTTGTATGATGTATGTATATATGTATGTTGTATATATGTTTGTTTGTATGTATGTATGCATGTATGTATGCACTTATGTATGAGTGTATGTATGTATATACTTTTATGTGAATATAAATATACTTTATGGTGTGCCAGAAATGAATGACACAGTCTTTTGTTTCTGTGTAAGTTTCAGATGAAGATGATAATTTTTAATTGTTTTATTATTTTTTAACTACAAGATAACAGTAATTAGTGGCAAAATAGTTTATTTATTTTGTTTTTTTGAGACGAGTTGGATTTCATGCTTATTAGGTGCGTAAATAAATTTGGGTTAATTTTTTTTTAGTTTAGTCCAAAAAATCATAAACTGAGATCTGTCATTAATTTCGTTAGCTCAATTTTATACAAAAAGTAAAATTTCAATAAAAATTATTATCCGTATGGCATAGCAAAGTAACTCTTCTAAAAAATTCATTAAATCATTTTGATAAATTTTATAATCTAATATGAAGTTCACAAAAATAAAGAAAGATCAGTTAGTTTTCAATTTTTTCTGTCAAATTTTTCTTAGTCTAACATAAAAACTTTTATATATTTATAATTAAAATATATGAAAATTTAAAAAAATATTCTGCTTTGTCTCGTCAGCATGGATTACGCTGTAATGATTGTACAATTCCAACAACATCGCTATTAATTGCGCCTATAAAATCACATTAGTAACTTCGGATTAAAGGATATAAAAAAAACAAAAATTATGAAAAATTTTTTCTCGAAACAGTCACAAAAAGAACAACAACAACAACGTCAGCAATCTAATCAGTGTAACAACCCGTTCAGACGACAAAATGCATATTCTCTCAAAGAACAACAACAGTATCACGACGACAACAGCCACCATCAGCAGCAGCAACAGCAGCAGCAACAACTACGACAGCATTCGGACGAATGGAATGAGAAGCTGCATCTTATGAAAGTTAAAAAAAGCACAACTGTGAACTACATTCACGGAACGAACACTGTGCATCACAAGGTAATTCCCAGAACATTCACTACATCCAATATTATTTTTCCATGCGCCAATACCATTTCATTGACACTTCTTACTTACTCGCCGACTGTTTCCAGTTTCCCGCTTCATACGACGCTTAAAAATGAAATTGTTAAAAAGACAAAATTCTGCGATGTTGCCAACAGGACGTCCGACTCCATCCAGAGCCAGGAGGATTACTTAATCGATCACAAAATTCGATCGGATCGAGCGAAGTTTTTTGAAAAGCAGCGTCTGAAAATTAACGTCAGCGGCCAGTGCTTCGAAACTCATTTGGAAGTTTTTGAGAGGCACCCTGAAACGCTGCTGGGCAATCGAGAGAAGAGGAAGCAATTTTTCGACAAAGCGAAAAACGAGTTATTTTTCGACCGACACCGACCGAGCTTCGAGGCGATATTTTGTTACTACCAGTATGGTGGTCGGCTGAAGAGGCCCATGCACGTTCCAGACGATGTATTCCTCGATGAAATTCTCTTCTACCAGCTGGAGCAGGATGCCGTCGACGAGTACAAAAAGTCGGAAGGCTACACAACATCCGAGGCCCAACTGCCCACCAACCACTTCATGAAGAAAGTTTGGATGCTCTTCGAATACCCAGAGACTTCCAACGCCGCTTTCGCCATTGCAATAATTTCAGTGACCATCACATTAATATCGATCATCTTGTTCTGCGTTGAAACCCTGCCGAAGTTTGCTCATACGCACTGTGAGAAACACGACAAACCCAACTTCTTCGACCCGTTCTTCCTCATCGAGACTTTCTGCACGGCTTGGTTCACGTTCGAGGCCATCGTTCGATTTCTCGTCAGTCCAAGTAAGTTGGAATTTTGGAAAGATTTTAAAAACATCGTTGACGTAATGGCCATCATTCCTTATTACGTCACGCTCTTCAACGTTGTGTCCACCATGAGTTGTGAAGGAGCCAAGTCCAGTGCCTCACTCGCCTTCCTCAGGGTCATCAGGCTCATCAGGATCTTCAAGTTGACGAAACACTCGGTAGGCCTGCAAGTATTAATCTTAACGTTTAAAGCCAGTTTGGAAGGGTTGGGCTTGTTTCTGGTGGCTCTCTGCGTCTGTCTCCTCGTCTTCTCCAGCGCCATCTACTACGCCGAGTTGGGCACGAAATCTTCGCAGATCCACAGCATTCCCGACGCCTTCTGGTGGGCGATCATCACGATGACGACGGTGGGCTACGGAGATAAAGTTCCAGTAGGGCATTTGGGTAAAGTTGTAGGAGCAGCTTGCGCCATTACAGGTGTGCTAACCCTTGCCATCCCTGTTCCGATTATAACCGGTCATTTCAACCGGTTCTACGCTCATAAAACCGGTAGAGGTAGACACGTTTAAGGATGCTTCTATTGTTTTTGAGTCGTGGTATGATTTTGTTCGTTCGTTTGTTTGTTTGTTGCGTTTTGTTGCGTTTTTATAATGTATGTATCATCAAATAAAACAATCGTCTGCTTGTGCTTGCATGCGTGAAACTTTATTTACATGATTTTCATTGTTGTTTTTATTTAGAATAATAATAATCAGATACATTTCCTGCTGATGTGCATCCGTATACAGAGTGTGTTTTTGTGTGCGTGTGCATGTACGTGTGTGCGTGCGTGCGTGCGTTGACAAGTGAGAGCATGTTTGAATTCGCAAATGTCTCAACGTATCGGTGTCTTTATTGACACAACTCGCCTCTGTGATTAATTAACTGCGAACTGTCGTGTCAAGTCTGTCCGTTTGTTTGTTTGTTTGTTTATTTTTCGTTTGTATATCTCTTTGTTTGTTTGTTTGTTTGTATATTTTTTGTTTGTATGTTTGTTTGTATATTTTTTTGTTTGCTTCTTCGTTTAGTCGTTTGTTTGTTGGCAGGTCCTCGTAGTAGCCTGAATATATCTTCCAAATTTTAAAGAAATTGAACATTCTCTACTCTGAAACAGCATTTTTATTGACATTATTTTTATTTAATCATTTAAACGCATATATTCACATTTAAATTTTTAATCCCTCTCATATCATTTTTAACATTTTTTTTCTCATAATTAGTTGATAAACAAATTGTAGGTAGTAATAATATTTGGCGGCGTATTTTATTTAGCTGCGGTTTTTTCAAATAGAAATTGACATTGAATTAACTTAATTTATTTATACAGTTTTAAGCAATAAAGTCGTTTTAAAATTTGAAAACGAGTAAATTGATGAATGAATGAATGAATAAATGGTAAATAAATGAATGAATTAATTAATTAATTATTGAATGAACGAATGAATGAATGAATTAATACAATAGTTATTGTAAATTAGTTTTATAGAGTTTAATGTAGTATATCTTCTTTGTTGAAATTTAACTCCATATATTGGCTAGTATGTCTACGTTACTGAATTTATTCGCATATTTTGTAATAAATAAGTTTAATTCAAGAGAAACCCAGAAAGAAAATAATGTTGAAAAAATAGAAATTTAAACATTCAAGTACAAAATAATCGATGTTGCATTTCTGTATTATTGCATGTGCGCGTGTGTATGTGTGCGTGTGTGTGCGTGTATTTATTTCTTTGCGTATGTTTGCGTGTGTATGTTTGCGTATTTCCGTGTATGCGTGTGTGTGTGTGTGTGTGCTTGTATGTGCACATTTGTTTGTCGATATTCATGATTGAATGTCAATATTGGTGCATCAAATAATATGAATTTTAATTGAGTATGTATTCTGAATTATGTGAATTATGTGAATTATGA